GGACACAATAGGTGACATGTGGCGATGCGTTGCTGCTATGTCGGGCGTGAGACAAGATGACTCGATGGGATCAGAGTAGGCTTCGGGGCGGGAAGCGGCAGGCTTGGTTCTGACCGCATTCGGTGTGGCTAGATCCATCTTGGGCATGTTGGGCGGGCCTGACAAATGCTCACCTTTTTTGCCACTTTTTGCTCGCAAGTTGAAATTCTTTTGAGTGGTTTCTTGTTGAGGTCGTTGAGAAGACAACTTTCGTGCTTGCATTTTTTCGGTTTGCTTGTTTTTAGCGAGGGTTGTTGGTCAAAAGCGAGAGAGAGCTAGAGCGTGCACATTACTCCGTCGCCGCCATGTTGCATTTGTTCAATGAGTGCCCTTTTTTGCCGGTGCTCCCCCCCTCATTTTGGAAGACGCTCAGCCGCCCCTGCACCTATCGCTAAGGCCTAGAATGCAGTGATTTAATTGACCAAAATGTATTATAAAATCCAAATAATATAATTGCTAACTACAAACTGTTCTTGGATACATGCTCGTATACCTTCACGTTAACAAAAAATCAACTGTCTTGTATCCCGTTGTAGTTGAATTATAATTCGATTTTAATAAATAATTTTCACTTGTTTCAAAGCAATATAACAGGGTGTGACGTATTCTTTCCCTGTGACTTTGAAAACTAGTAAATCAACCTGGCTGGAGGTTCGCAGGTGGTTTTCATTCGGAGTATTCTGAGAACAAGATGAACAAGAAGGACAGGAAGAAGAAGGAGAAGAAGAAGGAGAAGGAGAAGGAGAAGGAGAAGGAGAAAAAGAAGAAACGATAACAATAACAACAACAACGACAAGAAACGCAAGTTCTAGTATAAACATGTTTAATATCTTGCACGGAAGTGGAAAACTGCTGTTGCAAATCAGAATTCTCGCCTTTAGACTCGTTTTTTTTGTTTGGTATGTGCGTGTGTTCGTGTGTGAAAAAAGAAATGTGTGTATTTCATGACTCTTTTTTTTCTTCCTTCAATACAGATCGATCAATAGAAATCAAAAAATCAAAAAATCAAAAAATCATGACTTTTTCTTTTAAGAAGTTCGTAAAGGGGAAAGATATTTAACCAGGGTAGGCATGGCATTGTATGCTTACTCTCATTCACTTTGTTTTCCTAGGCACAACTGCGATTGCTTGACGAAATTCAAGTCGAGATAAAAACGTTCCTACGCTGGAGCGGAAAACACGGCTGAATTATTTCCGACCTTTTTAGTTCAGGTTTGCATAAAAAGCAGAATAATCGATAGCAACCTCCGAATCAATAATCCCTCTACTTGAAAAAAGGGTTCATTCAAATATAAAGAGTAAATTTAACCTAAAATATATGCATGCAAAGGGAAAGAGTAAAGTAAATTGTATGTAGCGAGTCGCTTTTACATTTGTATTATAAATTAAATTATCTTTTTTTAGTTGTGTGTAGTTCTATTGACTTCGATGAGTGGCATATCATGACGTTAACGCAGTAGACTCGCCCTCTCCCCCTCTCTCTCTCTCTCTCTCTCTCTCTTTCTCTCTCCTCTCTTTTTCTCTCTCACTTTCCCTCCTCTCTCTCCCTCTCTCTCCTCTCTCTTCTCTCTCTTTCTCTCTCCTCTATCTTTCTCCTTTTCTCTTTCTCTCCTTTTCTCTCTCTCTGTACATGCGAATAAGTGCACGTAAACTTACTAATGATAAACGATTAACTTGAATCTCGCCCCCCCCCCCCCCCCCACTCAGTGTTATTTAGGGTACGCATATGCTCGTACCCTCTTTTTGAAAGCACCCCCTATCTGAGGACTGCCAATATTTCCGAATCCCCCTTTCGCGGGCTTTTCCTGCCTTGGAGACCCCCCTAAATCAGGAAAAATGCTCAATGTACCCCCCTAAATTCGGAGTAATTGCTCAGAAGTCCAAAGAGATGAGAGAGAAAAAGAAAAACACCCCCTTTTTAAAAAAAATATCCGGGTGAAAAGTCAAATACACCCCTTTTTTTTTACAAATCTCGGGCCGGACTTTGTCGCACGAAAAGTACCCCTTTACCGGACATTTTGGCAACACGCATGCGGTCATTCCGACCTCTGAGTGGGGGGACCGGGACTTGAATAACATCTTTAGAGTCGAAGATCCGGAAGAAATAGGCAAGATTAATGGGATGTACCCATCGATGTAAGGTATTAAATGTGTGATTTGAACCCTAACAATTCAGTATTGATTGGAGATGAACTGAGGTAGTTGCTCTGGAGGATTCGGAATATTAAAAGGGTATTGATGTGACGTGATGCCAGTTGTACGCAAAGCGTCATATCTATTGCGTTATTACCGGCCCCTTCCACGCTCATGGAGGCAATACACCTAGCGCCAATACAAATCAGCTATAATAGCAGAACTATAGATTTCGCAGTTATTTTATAATATCACTCTCACATGTAAATTGGTAGGCCTATATGGAATCAACTGGATTCCAGTTGAGAATTGCATCTGGTACCAGTTGAAAACACCAGTTGTGAACTGGTACCAGTTGGATCCAGTATACCAATTTCCATATTGGAAACACCGCTAACTGGAACCAGTTGACATCCGAGACCAGCAGATATTTCCAGTTGATTTACCAATAAAAATCCAGCTGAAGCCAGCTGAATACCGGTTGATTTACCCATTGAAACCAGTAAATTGACCAGTTGATATACCATTTGAAAACCAGTTGCATATCCATGGACTGATAATCTATAATCAATATTGGCATCTGGCCACCAACTAGACTCTTGCAATTACTCCATCACAAAGATCATTTGAAGTGGATTGCAGATGAGTATTTTATTAAGTAAGAAGTTTAGAGCTCGTACATATAGATATATACAAACTTATACCAGTTGTTTCCTGGTTATTAATTACATACACTGTCGCTCATAACGTTGGGATATTTTTTTTTTACCCCAATTTATGGAATTATTTTGACAATGATTTATTCCTAATATATCTAGATAATAGTAGGTATAGCACACCACAAATAAGTACAACAAACATATGTTATTTGATGATTGCAAATGATCAAGCTTTATAAAAGCTTCAAAAAACAAAAAACAGAATTGAAATCGGTCAAAGCGTTGTGATTTTATACCATTTTTTTGATATCGCAAAATTACCGAAAAACCTGCTAGAACTGGTCAAATTATTGGCAAAAATTGCAAAATTCGACAAAGATGACAACTTAATTCATCACTTTCTAGGACACAAATAATAAATTAAATTATCAGACACTAGAATATCATCTTTATGGTAAAAAATACAAAAAAGAAAATTCATATATCTATTACCATTTTGAAAACAGAAGCCAACAAAATAAGTAATTTTTGCAATTTTTGCGAATCTGCAGATATGAAAAAGTTGTGAAAATAACTAAGTCCGCCTAGTTAATATGCGCATATGTAATCAAATCAAAACCGAACATGATACATCAGTGAAACCTATGTATATCAGACAGGTATGGAAATATATTTTATTTGAAATTAAAAAAATCATGAATGTTCATCAAAAATGCAAATTAGGTGGTGTGATCACCCTAATAATAGTATACATTCTCAGATTTTTGGAATGATAATTTGCTAGTGTTTGTTTTGCGTGACTGCTAAAGCATGTGTATGCTAATATGCTTATCAACTAGGGGACCTACGCCCTTAAGTCATAAATGACAGTAATGACGATTAATGCCTCACTGAAAGGGCACTACTATAGCGCATCGACACGGTTTCGATCCTGGGTCCTCACAGTTTATACGAGGCCATTACTTTGCCACTGAACCATGACTGTACGCAGCGGGGGCAAGGGTAGGGGGCAGTTCCCACAAATAAAAAATAAAAAAATTAAATGCAATAAACTATCGATAATTCATTGAATTCCCCCGGTCCCCAACCCCCCCCCCCCACTCAGTGTTATTTAGGGTACTCGTATGTTCGTTCCCTCTTTTTGAAAGCACCCCCTATCTGAGGACTGCCAACATTTCCGATCCCCCTTTCGCGGGCTATTCGCGGGCTTTTCGCGGGCTTTTCGCGGACTGTTCCTGCCTTGGAGACCCCCCCCCCCCCTTAATACGGAAAAATGCTCAATGTACCCCCCCCCCTCCTAAATTCGAAATAATTTCTCAGGAGTCCAAACAGATGAGAGAGAAAAAGAAAAAGACCCCCTTTTTAAAGAAATCTCCGGGTGAAAAGTCAAATACATCAAATTACAATTCTCGGGCCGGACTTTGTCGTACGAAAAGTACCCCTTTAAAGGACATTTTGGTAACACGCATGCGGTCATTCCGATCCCAAAGGGGGGCGGGGGCGGGTCCCCAACAGTAACAAATCTTCTGTGTGCCTATGCCTAACTATGAATCGAGTCATCATTTCTTACGAACATATCATTAAAAGGCAAAGGTAATTGGTAATTGTTTTAGCTTGAATCAACGGGTCTAATAATATACCAGTATACGCCTATAGTTAATGGCTTTCGAATGAAATCAACTGGTAAACTACATCCATTTGGTTTCAATCATGTTCCAACTGGACTCCACTTTGGGTTTTAAACTGGAATCAACATTACTGGTATACCAGTAAAGCCTATTGTTTTTAACTAGTATCAATTGGTGAAACAATTTTATACCAGTATGGTTAATTGGTTTCAACTGGAATCAACGGGTTTGTTTTCAGCATGTGCCAGTAGAGTCAATGGGTTTCAATTGGGATATACAAGTTGGTATATAAAAGTTTACCAGTTGTGTCAACTGGTTTCAACTGGTATATCAGCTATATCCAGTTGAAACCAGTTGAATGAACTGGCACATATTCCAGTTCCTTCAAATGGATTCAACTGGTAGGCCTACCAGTTGATTCCAGTTGATAACAGTTGAAAATCTAACTGTTTTCAACTTTCTTTTGTTTAATCTGGGGAAGAAGAAGAAACAAAGCATACACAGCCTAGCCGGTGATATACACAGCGAGCCCAGATTTAGCTCGCGAAGGAAACCTGCGCATGCGCACATGGTAAAAATATGACGCAGCCGGGGATTCCCCTTTCATTCGCCATTTTTTCTGCACAAAAATGTGCATACTGCACCGCCACCTTCTACTTCTATTCTGCTACTTCCGATTCCGATCCAGTGATTGATATTTCTGAGATCTTTCTTCAGTTGCAGTAGATTTCGATGTAAGTCTTTGTGAACCTGGCCTGATCGAACTGAGTGAAACGAGGTTAGTCTATTTCAATTAATAACCTTGTTCCTTCACTTCCTTGTTAGCTAGCTAGTTCATCAGATCAGTGCACACCACCAGCATGTACATACAGGTAGTGGTCGATGCTAATGCGTAGCGCGTACGTAGTACATGGGCGCTGAGCTGAGCATGAGCACACATTGGAGCATCACTCTCCTGGCTGTGTAGTAAAAGCTGTGCTTTTGATTCTCAACATTTCAAACACCACTGTACAAAACTCAACCAATTTCACTCAAAATCGGTACTTTAGCGACAATTGATCATTTGATGACATCTAAATAGCAGTAAAATACATTTTTTTTAACTTACTGTATACTGATGTTAAAAAAGAATAATTTAAAAATTCAAATTGTAAGTCTAGTGTCAAACTTTGCTTACAGCTGCATCGACTTGATTGTGTACAGTCTATGCAATATTGTGTGGTGTGTATATTTGTGTATAGGTCTAATAATACCTGTCTCACAGCAAGCATGCAGTGCTAAAGTAAAGGTCAATACGCATTAGCATTGACTTTCTATGCTTTGCTGGAGTGAGCATGAGCATGGGTAATGAAACTCCAGGGTGCTCCGACGCCGATGCATATTTAATAGTACGGAATAAGGTATGGCAACATTTTATAGTTAAAGCATAATAATAATGGCTCTAATTGATTCAGAATCATATCTATACTTTGACCCGTAACTCTGGCGTTGAGATAGCCTACTATTTACCCAACCCCGGGGGAAGCCGACGAATTCGGTGAAATACTGTGAGGGTCAATACGTGTTAGGATCCAAATGCTAATAACATGTATATATGTATTTTCTCTCCCCTTTTTCCAAGAATTTGTCCGTCCATAGCAATGCGTGGCAAGAAGCGCCTAAGGCGCATAAAGTGCGCTAACCTGTCGGTAGAACCCAGAGCGTTCGGGAGGGGGAGCATGGTGCTCCACAACACAAAACCACGTTCCCTAGCCAAAGCATAGGCGTGCAATGAGGGAGCAGACATCAAGGGACGGGGGTCTCCAAAATGCCCCCCTTTTTATAGGCTCATTTTGGCCTTGGACCAAACTATCTTATAGGGGTACCGAAGTACCTGGGTTATAGGCTGCCCTTGTAGAGGCGCAACAAAATTTACGAATATTAAGTGCCAAATCCAACCAGCCGCTGATCTGAATAAGCAGAAAAATTTGGCAACGACTCAGCCAGCCGCTGAATAATTTTGTTGGTATATGGTACGGTTTGGCGGAAGATTGTACATCGTTGGCGGGAGGGCGGGAGAATGAGCGTGGAGGCGTGAGACTCCCTCCACATGCGGGAGGGTTGACAGCTCTGATTACATACCAAAAATCAACCAAATCTTCATCAATTGTTCAATTAAGATTTGAAGCCGTTAATGTTTCTTACCTGTGGCTGCTGCGTGTCAATTTTCTCATCTTTTTTGGAGTATTTTTTCCTATAAATGAATTATAATATACACTTTGACTTTGTCACAGGATTCCGGCAGACTGCTGCACAGTTACAATCGCATATCATATAGACGGTGGGGTGCAGGCACACATACATGTAGGTGCATTACTATCCTGGCTGTGTATTAAAAGCTGTGCTATTGATTCTCAACAGTACCACTGTACAAAACTCAACTGATTTCACTCAAAATCGGTACTTTAGTGACGATTGATGACACCTAATTAGCAGTAAAATACAATTTGTTCAATTTACCGATGTTAGAAAGAATAATTACCAAAATTCAATTTGTGTGCATTTGACTTCAGTTGCGCCCGCACCCTACTGTCAGTGCGCTAGACGGTATGCTATTGTATTGTGTAGTGGTTTGCTGTGAAACATGTGAGAAAGTGTATATTATAAGTCTTCGTTTGGGGGGGGGGGGGGGAAATAATTTTTAAAAATTTAAAAAATGGACACAAAACAGGTGAGAAACATTTAATAACGACTTTTAAATCATGACCAGTATAAACACTATGTGAAGAAGCATGCAGATGTACAAAAGATCATAAGTAAAACTATTCCGCAAAGAAAACATGCTTTTGAAATTGGCATTCTTACAAAATTAAAATACTATTATTTGTAACAAGGTACTTAGCACTTAGTGTCTGAGCTGACTGGCATTGGCAATAAGCAAGTTCGTAAATAGCTCTGGACCGCATGACCCCAAATTATCCACAGATCTTAGACACGATGGATACTTCCCACCTGTGCATTTTAGAATAATCACTGCCAAAGTGATGGAGGTGCTTCATGAATACCTTTTGTTTGCCTCTTGATAAGAATACTCCCACCTGTGTATCAGATGTTGGTGCATAAATGAATACTGATTACATAACTTTCATGAGCACGATACTAGTATTCGTCTCAATAGTTTTACAATTTGGGTCCGAATGACCTTCATCTGCCCCTGCGCAAATCCTAATTATGAACTCGCTTATTGTGGTGTGATTGAATTAAAACAGTAAAGCATGATCTCTTGCAAGGTAAGAACTAATCAAGGCTGGTCCATAATGTAATTATTAAGAAAAGGGGTGAAAGATAATGAGAAAAGCACAGGGCTTATTGGTATAGGGACTCAGAATATATAGCTACAGCATATAACACCTTGTTCTCCTTGAAATATTGTCAAACAATACATCAATGTAAAGCTATTGATGAGAGAAATTCAGTGGTGAGGCACAGTTTCTTGGCTGGTCCCAGTCATTCTTACCGAGGGTGGGTTTAAGGAGGCGACAGCAGAAAGGTTCACAGCGTTGAAAGCCCCCAAAACCTTACGCTATTAAGCCTATCACAGTCAAACATGTCTATAGTGACCACCCAAGTGAAACACAAATAGTGTATTGGATATAGTGAATTGAAACTTTCAAAGATCTTTATTCCATTTGTTTTATGTACGTAATGTAAATATTTCTGAATATTGTTTTGCAGGTATTGTCGCCATCACCATTTTCCAGAGGACTACACTTCTGTCGAATGAGAAGGACATCGTACACCATGGGTGGATTCTGCCTTCTCTATCTGCTCCTGATCCTCTTGATGAGATCTGGCGACGTTGAAACCAATCCAGGTCCGAACACTGCAGTAAGGTATACATATACTAGTAGCACCTGAAATTGAGTTCTGGGCCCTGTTTCATAAACCTTGTTATCGATAACGGGTTTGATCGGCTGAGAGCAGATTTGTCATAGAAATTTAGCATTCGTGATTGATAACAAGTTTTATGAAACAGGGCCCTAGTCACGAGATTACTTTGCAAAAGAAACAATGTGGAAGCGATTGGAAAGGTATTGGTGTATACTATGAGGTTTTGGAGTTGTCAAAATAATAATTTTGCCCAGTCTTGCAAAAAGTCGCATGAACTAGACTAAATAAATGTGTATATGTATGGGACTTTAGAAAGATGTGGCAAGAAAGTGTAGTCCGAAACAAAATATTTGTCATATTTTAAAAACGAGGGCATTTGAAGAGCTGTTTATTTTCGAACTTCCTTTCACCTTTCACAGAACTCAACCTTCTTAAACTAGGCAAACCACAAAATGTGGTCAATTTTGTAATGTTACCAAATTTAATACTTCTTTGTGAAGTGCTTCAATACAATTTATTTTGTTCACCTGATAAGAATAATAGTATTTCAATAGTCAGAATGCAAACTGCATATATTAAAAAGTGTTGCTAGGTAGGTCCAGCCATAATGTTTGTTCTACCTGGCAACAACTAATATATACAGTTTGGATACTGTCTATGGAAATACTATTGTTTTTATCAGATGGATGAAATGTTTTGTATGGAGGCACTTTACAAAGATGTATTAAATTTGGTTACAATATGAAAATGGCCTATTGTCGTGAATGAGTCAATGTGACACTTCAAATCATCATCTTATCAAACAAACTTAGTGATTGCATAGAATATATGATGCAGATAATAATTTTGATGATGAAGGTAATTATAAAGATAATAGTGATGATGATGATTGTAGAAACGGTGACTTATGAGTATTACGTAAAGACCAACTGTAATGACGACTCGACTAAACTGCCCTTGCGAATGATACCAAATGAGTGGTTTAACCTTTAATAAAAGATAGAACAGATAAAACAAGTAATCAGCATGGGTGATATACATGCATCACGCAATTATGTTGTAAAAATCTAAAGAATTGTGTGATACATGAGGTTTTCTAAAATACATAACATTAGTTTTCTCATAATTAACAATCAGTTTGTTAGCGTCAAACCAATCAGCTAATTTACATAATTCATTATTGGTTTTTTCTAACAAAAAATTGAAATTGCTATGGGTTGAAATGATAGTTGTGTCGTCTGCAAATAAGACATAATCAAAAAAAGAAGCACTGTACATAAATCATTAATATAAATTAGGAAGAGGAGCGGGCCCAGTATGGAGCCTTGGGGGACACCATACTGGGCTGTCGAGTATTGGGAATTATATTTATTAAATGAAGTATAGTTACGTTGATCAAGTAAGTAGCTCTGGAACCATTCCCACACTGCTCCCCTGATACCATGTAACAAACTGTAACAAACTGTCTACCAAATGCATAGAACCGAATAATAACAACAAATGACATTATTATCCTTGATTCAAAATAATCACTCCATTCTTCTGTATGCTTCCCCCCACCCCCCTTGTCCTTTGACCTGACCTACTTTCTGCCATGTTGTACTTATAATTTTGTATTGCATGCTAAAGCACAAAATACTAATTGTTGAGTGTCACATGATAGCTTCTCAGCCAATAGGATGCTCTCTTATTAATATCCTATCATACACAATTGATTTATTATTTATTTTACAGTACTGTCAGTGAAATGGAGTTTCTGAAGCTGGCCCAGGATATCGCTCCATCTTACTACGATGCTGTAGGGATATCTCTAGGGATCCCCTTAGCTCAGCTACAGGCAATCCTACTTCAGATGTCGAATAACTATTCCAATGCATTTTTGCGCGTATTCATGGAATGGAATGTCAAGCAGCAGCCTCCACACTCAAACAAACGACAGATTTTGGCAGACAAATTACGAGAGATTGACTTGGGTGGCCTATCAGACAGATTCAATGGACCTCCAATTCCAAACAGCACAGGTAAACAGATACTAATTCTTGCTACACCAGGAGACATAGCAAACCATGCATTAAGTGAAGTCAGTTTTACCATAGAGATAGTGAGTGCTCTGTGTTATACGCATTTGCCAAAATTTACAGAAGTGTCAAATTTGATCAGGCCCCATGCATGTTTTTATTGTTTTAATTTAACTTTGTTAATCCTCGATATTTTCTGGACACCAATATATAGTACAAGTACTTTGAGTGACAGCAGAATTAAATTTATTCCAGCTTTCTATATGTGCACATGTTCTACAAACAAATTATATTCTTTTGCGTCATTCCATTACGATAACTGTAAGTAGCATCCGCCCACCGGGGGTGGTGCCGGGGAAAATATGGTTTGGAGTTCTATGTCACTCCATCCCACTTTTTTGCTATTACGATATCTCAAGAACTAGGTATGAACTTCAAATGTGGTGTTAGCACGCATCACCAAAGTGAGATGAAGTTGTTAGATCTTAGGATAAGTTGGTCTCACCGAAGTGAGGTGGAAAATCAGATTTTGGGATAAGTAGATCAAAGGCCAAGGGCCATGAGGGTCAATATAACTTAATTTTTTAGGGTTTTAGCCCCATTATTGCAATGTCTCCAGAACGGTTTGAGCCACGAATTTCAAGTATGCATCCCCATATTGAGACAAACTGATATATTTCGGGTTAAGAAGGTCAATGGTCAGCAAAATGAACTAATTATCACCATATCAATAAAATACTTGAAGCTAATTTAGCTGGAAAATTACAAATTAAAAAATACATATGGTATGCGTCACGTAGGGAGACAAGTGAATAGATTCAGGATTGTCAGGTCAAAAATCATAGAGAAATCTCAGCTACGTCTCACGTTCCTAGACCATTTTCTTCACGCCTATATATATAGGCTTTTTGTTCTCATTGTAATATGTAAAGATTGATTCAAGCCCTGATCTTAACTGAATTTAGGCGGAAGCATACTGGAGAAGCAGTCACGTTTTTCAAAATAAGATGAAATGTCCTTGGAAAAATTATTCCAGTGATATTCATATACAAGTACATGTATCCACAAATTTCTCAGATTTTAAATGCCCTTAAAAATTGAGTGAAGTCACATAAATTCAGAAAAACATTTAGGACTTTGTGTCTTTGAGTACATGCACCTAGTTGTATGTCACACTATTAGCCTCATGCCTTTACAATCCTTTCAGATGTATCAAACTATGCATGTTTACATATAATCATGTGAATATGGATTATCTATGTATTTTTAGGAGGGCCACCAAGACTGCTCGAGTCACAGACCAAACCACTTTCTCCTGAACTGGTTGAGCGGTGTGCAAAGGATTTCAAGTTCAAGTACAGGTCAACTGTCTGTAAGATCAGAGCTGATCCTCTCAATCCTACTTCCACTGTGCAGTTTGATGACATGTATACTAATCTCTTCTTACAAAAAGAGCATGGGACAGAGAAGCGAAATCTAGATTACAATGATATCCTTGATCTTAAAGTCAATGGAGAGTTCCCCAAGCGGATCATGGTTCAGGGAGAGGCAGGGGCTGGAAAAACTACATTGTGTGCTAAGATTGCCTGGGACTGGATTGAAGGGAGGAATTTCAATCACTTTGTGTGGGTCTTGATTGTTCCTCTACGTGAATTTAAGCAACACACTATTGGCGAGATTGCAAAGTCTTATCTGGCCAAAAGCAATCCTGCAACGGTTTCACAGATTACTGAGTATATCCGGTTAAATCCTGATAAGGTATTCATCGCATTCGATGGGCTAGACGAAGTCCGTGGCAAAATCATGAAGACAGAATCTCACCAATCACAGCCTACTGATCAAATGCAACTTCAGCCAACACAGCCAAGTGTCAGCTCCTCAGAGGCATGTGGAAGCTCATCTGAGACTGGTGGTATTGGACTTGTAGATATTCTTTGTTCAGATCAACTTGCTTCTTGCCCAGTCTTGGTGACCACTCGCCCATGGAGAGCGGTAGAGATTAGATCAAATGGTGATATAATGAAGCTCTACACATTCATTCATGTGGAGGGTTTCACCAGAGAGAATTTGTCAGTTTACATTCACAAATACTTTCCTAAGAATGAGGATAAAGCAAATCAGCTTATCCAGTTCATCAGTGAGAATGATGTTGTATCCGAAAACATGGCTCGCTATCCAATATATGTAGCATTGTTGTGTCTCATGTGGAAAGAACTTGATGAGCCAAAACGAAAGGAAATGAAATTACTGAAAACTTTTTCTCAGATATTCAAAGAAATGATTGCCTTTCTAAAAGAACATTATACTCACAAAGTGGTGAAGAAAGTAGGCAGCCCCTCACTTTTTGCCTATTTGAAACAAATTGATGAGCGCCTTAGACCGATTGCCAAAGAGGCCTTCAATGGTCTGCTAAAAAATAAGTTGGTTTTCAGTGAAGATGATTTCAAAATATGCCCAGAATCCAAGGACACTGCCTGTAGGGTCGGGATTTTGTCTCAGGAGGAGAGAATTACCGCTGACACATATACACAGAGGATTGCTCATGTGCAATTGCCAGTCTTCTTTCCTCAAAAACTGTTTCAGGAGTACATGGCTGGGCTCCATCTTGCTTCCCTATATGAATCAGATCGTAATGAATTCAACAGGCTGATTGAGCAAGTAGTGCTGCCAAGGATGGAGGAGTTTAGGTATCTTCTGTACTTCACTGTGTCACAGAACTCAAGGATTGCAATCTTTGTAGTGAACTCTATGCTTCAGGCACTACACATGAACATATCCAAAAGTGCTTCACAGAGACAGTTAGATTTCATTGTTGATGTAGCCTTTGAGAGTCAGGACCCAGATGTAGCAGATTTGGTGAAGGACAGGCTTTCATCGAAAAAGATTAAGCTGTCCATAACCGCACACGTGACAGCACACACTGTAGCTGGTTATGCATTCATTGGACCACATGTGGTAAGTTTGATCATAGTTTGATGAACAAAATTAGTTCATTTATTTTTGTACAAGTTCTTACTTTTACATCTTTTGCAATTTTCTTTCAGTACAACAGTGTAATTATGGAAGGGTGCATCTTGACTAGCACCTTTTACCAACCAATAGTTTCTATTCTCGTAAATATTATTGTATGAAATGTATGAATACTGTATTGCTGTTGGTAAATAAATCAAATCAGAGAGGTTTGAACAGCAATAATCTGGAAACTAAAACTGCAATCGTAGACCGATATGCATACATTGATGCCCAAATTTCTATTTTTTTGAGCAGATAAATAAAGCAATTAGATGATCCTATGTTCACAACATGCAACAAGGCACACATCATTACGCACGTATGGTTGTCCGTATATACTATGGCCTATATGGACTTACATACTAATCGTGACGCATATACCGTGTGAGTCAAAAAAAAGTTTACACCTAGAAAATTGCTAATTTAATTTTTTTTTATCTATGAACAGTAAATTATTATACATCTTATGAAAGAGTGTTTTATCCCAATTCATTTGGTATCATTTTTGTGTGGTATGTGTTCATGCTTGGTTGAACAGGAGGCATTGTTTGCGAGAGTGCAAAAATTGACTTGCGCCAAAGTGATGCCTATACATGCAGTATGTATTATGTTGGGATTTAGCGGAGTGAGAGAATGAATTGAATGTATCAAATGAAATGCATTGCATATGCTTTTTGCAGAAGCAAAGTCACACACACACATACACGCGTGCGTACAAATGTTTGTTGATATTTGATATTCGATTTTTGATATGTGTGGCATGATTAATTTTGTTAGGGATGTTATTTGGGTCTGCAAAGACCGAATTAATTCCTAACTCCCAATTGTTTTATTCGAACATCACATAAGCAACTTTGGCGCAAGTCAATTTTTGCACCCTCGCAAACAATGCCTCCTGTTCATCCGAGCGTGAACACATACCACCAGGGGCGTCGCCAAAGGGGGGTGTGGGGGGGTGCGACACCCCCCCCCTACCTGTCAGGATATTGTCGGTAAAATGGGGAGGGAAAAAAAGAGAGGGAAAAAGAGAGAGGGGAAAAAAGAGGGAAAAAAAGAGAGGGGAAAAAAGAGAGGGAAAAAAAGAGAGGGAAAAAAGAGAGGGAAAGGGAAAGAAAAGAAAAAAAAAGAAAAGAAAAGGAAAAGAAAAAAAAGAAAAGAAAAAGAAAAGAAAGAAAGGAAAAGAAAAGAAAGAAGGGTAAGGAAAGGAAAGAAAGCAAAAGAAAGGAAAGAAAAGAGAAAAGGAAAAAGAGGGAGGAGAGGAAAGAAAGGAAATAGTCCGGCAGCCAAATGCAGATTATTGGCCTAACCTTGTTTTAGGGTCTATAGTTTTTTTTTCAATGGATTATGATTGCCTAAACCTTCTATTTGAAGAATCCGATTGCTGACACTCTGTCAGCCTTGATCAATTTAAGATATGTGACGTCATACAAAATGGCCGCCAAAGTACATGATTTTTCTCTAAAAATGTATAATAAATATATAATAGGGCTTTTTCTACAATTTTGGGCAGCCAAATGTCTGTATTTCTCTAGGACCATCACTAAAAATTGTTTCGTGATGTTGCACGGCCATAGATGACAAGCTAATTTGCATATTTTGAAATAGCGCCCTCTATAAATATATTAATTTTGCATAAAAATAGGTGTGCCAGCCAAATGCCAATTTCTTAGATCTACGTGACGTTAAACACATATTATATGCTTCGTATGCATGAAATAATTACGATTGTGCTGCATTTATCTTACATATTTTTGGGTCTAAATTAAGATACATGTAAAGAAACCAAGATCTACAAGAGAATCAGTGAGAAGTGATTTTACGGTACATTCTTTTTCCATTCATTGGCTT